CAAAATATTAATCTGAAGGCCCAAAAAGTAACTTTTTTGGGCAAAGTTTACCCTAACCACCTAATCTACGGCTAAAGAAATTCATGAATTAAAAAAAATATGTACATGTGTAATATATATATATTACATGTACATATAAAAGGGCGAGTGATACTAATTCATGAAGTTACAATACAAAACACGTAAGAGGATTGTGTCTGCAACAGGGAAGAGAGAGTTAAAGAAAAAGGATAATACTTTTAAAGTTCTAAAGGAAGGGTTTAAAGCTTGATGCAGTTAGGGAGTTAAAAAAAAAAATTAGAAACAAAAATTTGGGGGGGGGGGGGGGGTATGAAAAATGGATGAAAACAGGCAGATTTCAATTTTTGATGTGTATCTTGCTTTTTGGAATACTTAAGTATGAAGGTGTTTTTTAACAGTACCTTTCAAGATTTTGTCAAGGAAACCCTTTGAAATCTAAAGCGTGTTAAAAATTTTTGGGCCCTTTATTTCGTTGATTTTTTTATTAAATTTGACCATTCACAAGGAAATTTTAAAAAGAGGTAAAAGGGCCCCCTTTAATTCAAGTTAGGTTCAGGGCTACCGCCAGAAAAAGTGGACATCGCGGGAAACAAAATGCCTTTTTTTTTTTACTCAAAATGAAAAAATCTAGGTAGTGGGCTGGTGACAGAAACCACCCAGGGGGGACTCCGCCTCCCAAGTGAGTGTAAAACGAAACCCTGTATTGTTTTTACATGATGGGAGGATTGGGGTGTCCTTTTTTTCTATCCATACAACAAGCAAGATTTCGGTAATCTTTCTTTACACATACATGGACAAGCATATAAATACACCCCCCTCTGGGTTTTCTTTTTTTCACAAATTTTTTTCTTCCTCTTTTTTCCCCTGGGAAAGGGGAACAGATTTATTCCTCCGTAAGCCATGCGTGTGTAAGAGGCATAAAATGCCGGGAGAAAGGGGGCTAGTAACCCCTTCTTCTTATTTTATTTAAAATTAACCCTTTCAGGTCTGTCCCGTAGATCTAGGGCGGGGTGGGGTCAGTGTAAAAACCCGAGATCACGCCAAAATTCAGCCCCGTCAAATTTTAGCGCAAAGGCCTAGGCCTCATAGAGAGAATGGGTTGGCCAGGGGTGTGGCCGTAAAAAAAAAAATCTGGGCGCCTGCATGCATTGTGGGAACGCCGGCTCGTCACCCTTGTTCCCCCCAAGCCTGCGCAAGTCAGCTCTCACTCCCCAAAAAATTGGGGACTCTCCTCTTCCTTCGGTTCGACACTAGGAAGGGGAAATAAAGACAATTCTCGGTTTTGAAAAGTTTGAGCAAAATATGCCCAATATCATAATAGCAAAAACCCCCCCCCCCCAATTGGGGGGCCCTTCGGTGGGTTTTCCCCCAAAGAAAAAAAAATTTTCCCCCTGGCCTCGAATTGAAAGATTTTGGGGATTTTTTTTTGGCCCCAAACATTCGAGTATTTTAAAAATTCCCGGGGCCCCTAGGCCCCCCGGGGGAAAAAACCCCCAGTCATCCCGGGGTCTTTCCCATAATGTCCCCACCCCTTTTTTTTAGTGATGATGATTCACCGGGAAGGTGGGGCCCAAAGGTTTTTTTGTTGTTCTTTGGTTAACCCTCGTTTTCCACGGGGGGGACCCCGTTTTTGGGCTAAACTCGTCAGTTAAAGGGACAAAGGGGAAACCCTCACCCACCAGCCCCCCAAAAACCACAACCACCCCCCCAAACCACCTATGATGTCCATTTTCCACCAGAAAACCCTTTAATCTGGGTTTGGGCAGCAAAATCCCAATTTTTTTTCCCACCCCTCCCCACTTTGATGCCTCTCAAGGGGAATTCAAAC